AGTAATAATACGGCAGGTAGTATTACATGCCGTGAGGTATTCTGGGTTGTAATTTTTGAAATGCGCTAGCACCACTAGTCAGCACACAATTGTATATGTGATTTCAAAGAGAGAAAATGACATATTAGAATACTCAAATCCTAGATATTCTATCTATGTGTATTTTATAAAAGACGACATTGATCAACAATCTGAACCATTTTTACTCTACCAAAATTATGGTATAACGATATCAAATGTGGGTCTTATTGGTTGCCAAACTAGGTTTTTGTCAGGATCAGACCAAATCAACATTTGCTACTTTTTTGATATAATAGATTATTCAGATTATTTTAATATTTCAACACCAATAGGCCAAAAAGACTTTAAATAAGTAAAATTTTCGTCATATGGGTCAACAATCCAAGAGGATACTATTCTTTCTGATATTATAACTCTTAATACTTCAAATTTTAAATTACAATCAATCATTTTTATGCCATATAGCTACGTTAAGATATTTAATAGTATAACTTTTTCAAATAATTTAGATCATTTTCCACTTCAAGCACAACTAGGAAATATGAGCTTTGGTTATAAAATAACTGAAATCACCAATAACCTTACACTAATGGATTATGGCGTTTTTAGTAATAATACTTGGTGGCATATATCAAGGAATAACTCGCTTGATAATACACTTTTACATTTGATGAGAAACGGGTTTATCAAGATTGTGAGAATTTAAATTTATTTATTTAAATAAGTCAATACAAAATAAATTTTTAGTTTTCATAATAAAATAGCTTTTTTAATTTTTGTATTTTTTTTTAAAAAAAAACCAAATGTTAACTCGGTTATTATAATATAATAATATATGAAAACTAAAAATTAAGCTTATATGGCCTAGTGTTAGTACAATGATTACTTATTAATGTTATATCTTTTTATTATTATTAGATGGTTATGAAAATCTTGCAATTATATCTTCTTATCCAGCGCTAAATATGACGATATCTTTGCCATTTAATGATAGGATTAATATCACTCTTTCTTTTCCAATTAATCCATCATCCGGAAATATTTCTGTTTACCAAATCATTAACCAAGATACTTACTTATTGCGCCAAACTTACTCTGCTACTTCTTCTAACTGCGAAATTTATAATCGGTCAACATTGTCTTGCCAAACTTTATCTAGCATATTTAATCGAATTAACAGCAATTATATTTTCAGTGTTGATGACAATTTTGTTAGATCATCATCATATAATGAACCTTTTCGTGGAATTGCGAAAGGAATTTGGCGTGTAATAACGCCACTATGTAAGTATAATACATCATTCGTGTTCTGTTGATTTAAACCTGCAAAATCATAATGACATAAGACAATACTCTCAGTGCCAATAATTATTGAGTGATTCATAGAGCAATTTAAAAATGTGAAAAAAATATTTTACTGTTATAATTATATAATTAAATGTATGCTTGAGAATGCTCTTAATTGGTTTTTATTACATGTGATATTGTACATTCTGGTACCCTTGTTAATTCCATTTTGTTATTATTTAAGCATATAATTCCAAGGAAATTTCTGGTATGTAAACTTTTTTTATTTATTACATTAATTGTTGACTATTTATTAATGGTTTAGATTTGTATTTATAGATTCAACGGAAGCCACTTTACATTTAAACTCCGGTTATTTAACAAATGACAATCAATCAAAGCTTCTTGATGATTTGCTACTACAAATAAAAGAAAGTATTCCTCTAATGGATGATCGCTTGAAAATAACCTATAATGTCCAACCAGATCCTTCAGATTCCTCTAAAAAGCTAATCAAATTTTCAATTGATAATGCAAATGTCCCTAATAGTGATCCAAGTGTATATGATGTTTGTTGTAAATGATTTAGATATAAAGAATAAATATATAAGTTAAACGTATGCAAGTCCAGTATTAATATTTGTTGCTTTTTTCATTTTTTTATAATAATCATTTATTAATTTTTTTTAAAAAAAATTACAGCAAACCTGTGGCTTGAGATTAAATTATGTGATTATTTTATCAATTTCTATAGTTATGTTGTTTGCTATCTATTGGTGGGCCTGTAAACGTAACCCAAAGGCATGTTCTTGTTATTCATATTTTGTTTCTTGAATTTTTTCTATAAGTTTTAATATTTTCGTTCCTTATTTTTCACAGGGTCAAAACTATATTGTAATTAAAATATTTTTGATGATTTCGTATTTAATATTCAATATCTATATCTCTTTTATATTAATAAATGGGCATGATATTCCGGATTTATTTATTCTCAGGCATGTTAAATTTTATGTTTAACCATTGATATCTTTATATTCATATATTTATTTATTAATTATTATTGTCAAATAAATAGCATAGTTATTCTGATAGTGTCGATATTATTCAATACTAGTTTATCAATCTTTTTTATTTTAAATGAAATTCGGCTAAGTAAAGATTTTCATGCTTGGTTTAAAGCTAATGCAACTGTTGTTCCAATCTTTACATTGATCGCTTGTCCTGATGTTACAGCCATAAATATTTTATCGTAAATTTTGCTGGATTTAAAACTTTTACTGCTCCAACATCGGAAAAGACCAAAAGACGCATTAAGTGTGCTATTTTTATTAATTTCCTTATTGAGGACTGTCCACAATTTATTATTCAGATACGTACACTTTAAATACTTATAAATGTTATATTAATCTTGCTATTTATTTATTGCTTTTCAATGTAGATAATTTACAAGAAACGTGTAATTTTATACCATTGCTCTCATTAGCTTTATCTGGGTTAATTCTTTTTCATGATTCTGTTTCATATATTTATTATTTTTATAGCAGATATGTATCTGCAAAAGCAAATTATGAAGTTGCAAGTGCAAATAATTATTATGAAATTAAAGGTGCAAATAGTAAACCTGAAATTACAAGTTAAATTACAATAGTGCAAATGTATTTTATCTGATTCTGATTATTTCTCAGTTAGAATTAGGTATCACTAAACTTATAAGAAATTTTTTTTAAGAAAAATTTATTGTCACTTTAATTTTATATTGTATTACATCCAATTGGGAGTATTTTTTCAAGAAGTAGTTATGTATTGCACTGGTGATAAATTAGATTTTAGAAATTTAACTTTCAGTTACTTACTGTACAACTAGGGTTGTAAAATTACTGTAATTTTATGTAATTTTGCGTAAGTTTACAGTAACATAGTTTTCATGTAATTTGTAATTCACATCAATTGCACTTTCTGATATCAAAATTTTCAGTGGTTGAGGAGTTACAAATTAAATAAATCAAATAATGCAATAATGCTAGTTGAACTTTTGTAAAGCTGGTAAATTCTAACATGATATGTAAGTTACATGAAATTTGATTTACTGAAAATTATGTGAATTACATGTATTGTAAAACTGAAAATGTAAATTTCAACCCTATGTACAGCACCTATTATCTTGCACTATGCCAGAAATTAGTGCCTTATGTCATGCCTATGCAATGGGACAAAAGTGCCAGGAATTATAATAGGCACAGACACAGACATCAAGTACTAGACACTAATATAGGCAGAATACAAATGCAAAAGCACTATAAACTTTAAGTACTGGTATACTTCAAATATCGTCGACTGAATAATGATGTCATGCCGCACCAAAAATGCGCGGCAGATCCTCAATTTTGATTGACTAATAGCCGAGAACATTCAAAGCTTTGGCCCGCATTATATAATTGTATACTAATTTCTGGTCGGAATTAACTTTTTAATTTTTTCATTACAAAAATAGTAAGTTTAAAAAATAAACCTGCATTGTGATAAAATTGGTCCAAAAACAATTTTCACTTACAGCTATTTTCATAAATTCTGAGACACCTACAAATTTTCTTGTTTTCCGAAACTCTTCGGTTTCGTCCTATGGATCATCTAACTCTTCAGAAAATGAATCGCTATCTCCAGAATGAAGTTCCGATGACAATGACGTAATTCCGAAGAGTTAGGTGACATTTAAGACGAAACTGAAGAATTTTCGGAAAACAAGAAAATTTTTAGGTGCCCCAGAATTTATGAAAACAGCTGTAATGGCAGCTGAAATTTCATTAGTAAAATTATATGTAATTCGGCCTAATTTTTTAATTGTTGCTTTTAGCGAATTAATCAAGGACTGCTGCACATTTTTTGCGCAGCACCTATGTAGGTTATTACAGCTGTTTTCATTATTCCTGAGACACCTATAAAAAAATTGGCCGAAAAATTTTTTGGCCAGTAATTTTTTTGGCATAATAAATTCAATAAAAATTGATATGATACTGTAATATTTATGTAATTTAAAATCAGGTGGCTAATATAAATAACATTTCTTGTTGAATTCAAAAAAAATATGATATTTTCAAACCACATTCACTGGTAAATTATTGAAAAACAATTTAGAAGGCCTATCAACCTGAAAAATTGCAAAACACTTAGGTGTTAGCAGGTCTTCTATAAGTCAGGTTCTTGTGCATTTTCAAAAATATGGTTGTATTAAAAAAGTTCAATCATTTTTGGGAAAACCACGTTCTTTAAACATGAATGATATAAATTATCTTCAAGTTTTAATGAAAGAAAACCCTGACTAGTACTTGTATGAATTACAATCTGAGATGGAACTTTGGTTGGGACGTAACATTAGTCTTACAACTTGGAAATATGTACAAAAAGGTAATGTTTCATATATTTATACATATTTTTATTTTGTGAACTTTTAACAATTTTATAAAAGGCTCTTTCGTATTAATAGCTTCTGATTCAGGTTCTTTCATGTTAATAATATCCAATTAATTTCTGAATCAGTTGCAGTCACTTCAGACAAGTCAGATAACTCAAAAGTATTTGATAAAGATTCTAGAGAATCTTTAATTGTTAGATCTGTTGATCATAATTTTTAGCGCATTTTTGACACATAATAATTAAGTCTTGATTTTTTGGAATCTCGACTTTAGTTAAATTTTTTTAGTCCAATTGACGAATTTTTGATCATATCTAACTTTTTAATACTATCACCTATTCGTGTAAAATATTTACTATAAAAGCTAATTTGATATCCGGAGCCTTTTTTAGATTTCTTGTCAAGTTTTATTAGTTGACAAGAACAATCTTTTCCATTAACTTTCACACAAATTAAGCATTCAAATGAAATTTTAATAATGTTGACATTATAATAATAAAATTATTTGTACATAGAACAGGTATTATATGGTAATTTTTGAAATTGGAACAACTATGTAATTTAAACGTAGATATTGTATCAATATTATACAGTAAATAAAAATTGATCGAATTCAAAAATATATTTAATAAAAAGTAAAACGTAACTCTTTCTGATGATCACTAAAACCAAAATTTCCCAAACAATTTTTGTAAAAACAGTAACTAGTAAGTAATGAAGGGTATAAAACTGGAATCCATAAGTCAGCAGTTGTTATTTAGAGGTAGTTTTCATACGCTACCTGCTAACTTCTTCAGAGTTTATCACTTACTGCTGGTATGGCACTTGTCGTTTAGAAGTAGTTCTTATATGCTACTTGCCGACAAGTTCAGAGTTTATCACTTACCGTTAAAGTACAGTAGCTCCTCCCCTTTCCCAGAAAAAAAGTTACTAGTCGTCGGTTCTTTCAAGGATAAAATACTCTCTTTGGGTGCTAGTGGTCTTTTCTTTAAGTCTCTCTTGGTTCTATCGGTCTTCTCCAAAATTTTTGACAAAAAGTGGGTGATTTGGCTTACCCCCTCCACAAGATCGGCATTGTTTACCTCCCAAATTCGAACGTACCCAGGAATGCAACCACATGCCTTGTTTATTGGTGGATATGTGACATGACGTAGTCTATTGATACGGGACCTCCATGTGACTGGGATCAGGTCTCTAGAGGCATCCGGATGTGGTCGGTTGTCGGATAATAATTTGTTAGATTTTGTAGTCAAGATATACAAACATTGCAGTTTTTATAAAATTTTTTCAAACCTAGCATGGGTTATAATAGTGTATTTTTCTTTTGTTCCATTTGTACTATTTCTTGATAGAGGTAGTTTCTTCTTTGTTGGCCCTCGGGCTTCTCTCTTTGATTTTCTTTTTTTACATTTCATTGTACCCCTTTTATTTTTTCCTTTAAAATTCCCCTTCATTCTATTTGTTTTTTTTAGTTAGTTTTTCATTTTGTTTTCTTGATAGTATCAGTGGTTTTGTATTGGATATAAGATCATCACTTTCCTTTGCTCTCGGTAAAGAAAGAGAATATGAAGAGAAAAGCTTTGATGGGCTGACAAAGTTTATCTAACTTGTATACAG